AAAAAAAAAAAAAAAAATATTCCGACGAACTGATAAACTCCTCCTTTTTTGGAAGTCGGTTAAAAATAAGTACCAAATGAAAGAGGAAATTACTTAAGAATTAAAAAAAATTTAAATTTTTTGGATTCACAAGGACAAATTGGTCGTTTTTTAAGCTGATAAAGTTAGAAGAATGAAAGTCGAGTATATTATCGAGTTCATATAAGTCCTTAACATATAATTTTTTCAAAAACAATTATTGCGAAATTTCAAGGATACAAATTTTAAAGGATATTTTAAATACTTAGCAGCCCTTGTGCACTAAAGAATTGAACCTGTTTATGTTCTATGGAATTTCTTCTTTAAGTTAACACCAATTTTTCTTCTCTAAGCACATTTCACTGAATTTTGTAAATCATTTTTGAATTACTGACGTCAGAGTGAAAAACTATAAACGCAATTTTACTATATTTGGCCAATGGTTTCGCGAACATATTGATTTTTGTGAGTAAAACTTACTACACTTAAAAAAAATATATTAATTCTTACTTAAAAAAGAAATATAGCCAACACTGGTTAAGAGAAGGAGTTTCTATTATTGCCATCAGTGCAAATTACAAATCCCGTAAATCCCATAATTATTTGCCAAGAATCCCAGGATTTTTGGGACTTAAAAAAGGCGGGTATCCCGGGATCCAGGGATTAATATTCGTAGTACAAATACATAAATGAATGCCTCTTAGCTTCTATAAGTTTTATTGCTTTGTGTCACAGGTGTGTTGCAATGAAAATTTTTGGATATTCTTTATACATAGTCGGATGTTAGTATGCATGCTTTTTTGTATGTTTATTTATACGTGGCCAAATAAACAGAGCTTGCATGTGAATTGTTTTGTGGATCTGCGTCTTTAAGTTAAGTACGTGCATACATACAAACATGTTTATCTAAATATGTATGCAGAATCTGCTGGTCTTATATATGTATGTATATATACTTTTGTTCATCTGCATCCTAAAGGTCTAATTATGGAAACTTAACGTAACTTAGAGCCTGTCACTTAAAAATTCTCGTAAACGGATGTTGCTAGGATTTGGACAGCCGAAACTTAACGTATCTTGCTTTGACAGCTAACCAAAGCAACACGAACGCTGACGTCCTTTCTTGAAATCAATCACTTTTTGCTACTAAACACACAAAATCAAGCAAAGAAAACCCCCGACGACCAAATGCTTCTATTTTAAAAATGTTTCAATGTTTTTATACCCGAGTGCACTTGTGCACAAGGGTATATTAATTTTGTTCACATAACGGTTGTTTGTAACAGCCAAAACGAA